TATATTGTGTTCTACATCTCCCTTCATTCCAAGCATGTCTGTAAATACCCACTTATTTAGTTAATGGGCCATGCATTTGAAGAAGTGGACTGAACACAATGAAAACCTATTCTTTTTAAAACCTGCCAGTCTGGTAAGGGGTTGGAAGGCTCTTCTGGTGATTTTGCTTGGACAGATTTAACTGCAGTTTATCCCCTCACTGAAATTCCATATGTTCAAAAGGAATGAATATGTGCACACCAGTCATACCTTCCAGAAAGAAATTCAATCTGGAACAGCAAAGAAAGGAAATAGCATTATATTTTTGTAATGTTTTAGTTAAATTGTTTTAAACCCAGAAATGTTGGCTGTCTAAGCCTCCATCTAGTCTTGCATTGGTACTGCAGTGCAATATAGTAGACTTTCCCCTCTCTTTTCCAGAACGCCTTAGTGCCTCCCTGAAAGCTGGCTTTCTAAGGTTTCCTGGTTGTCTAGACTCTAGAGCAGATGATTGAGGATGAATGGGGATTATAATGAGGAGGGGTGATTGGCCTCTTCTGATTCTGCTGTTGGAAGCAGTTTGGTCACCAAGGGTTATTCTTGCTCAGAAAAATTTAGGTCTCAGGAATCTTGAGCAGGTGATGCAGTGACCTTATTGCTTGCTTTCCCTTCCACTAGTGATCTAAATAAGTTTTGCCATTGAGTCGTCTGTCCTGTAGTTGAGATTTAGAAGGGAGCAGGGCCTTGTTACTTGACCATGCTTCATCATTTAGAAATTCTTGGCAGAAGTGTTGCATTGGCAAGCTGTATTAGTTTTTCCTTTATGGTAGAATAGCTCTGTCTGTGTTAAAGTGCACACTTAATAATTTAAGACTGGGATTTGAAGTACAAGAACATTGAGTATGTATGAAGAATATCTAACAACATTTTTATTTTACATTACCCTTTTTTTTATAGTAAGTAGACCACCATCTAGAAGTAGTTTGTGTCTGCTGCAGTGGGTAAATTTAAAATGAAGTTTTAGTAAAAACCTCCCATGAGGAACAAGGCTTTGAATTACGGGTATTGAAAATATCTGAATCTTCAATTCCCAGTTTTTTAGATTTGATCCCATTTTAAAAAAATGAATGGGCAGCTGAGATTAAATATCCAGTAAACTGATAGATTAGTAGTTAGTTAGTACCAATAGTGAGAACAAAGGTAAGTCATTCTGGGAATAACTCTTGATGATCTCAGTGGGGCATCCTTTTGAAATGAGATGTGTAGGGTTGCAAAGTAAATCTGTTTTGCAGAGTGGATAAGAATTCACAATAGACTTTTCTGCAGGGAGACCTGTGTAGTCAGACAACATTCTTCTGACTCTTACTAGACAAATTTAGGAAGAAGTCTCCATGCAGAGTGATAGTGAATCTGATTCTTGTTTTGAATGGGAAATGTGCCTTTAAAGGGGAAACTTTGTGCACACTAAAATAACGTGTTATTTGGCAGAACCTATTTTCTTGAAAATCACATAGCACTCTTGTAGATCTTAACGTGGTGTACAAATAGCCAATAGAAGTACAGACATAATTATGTTTCATGTATCTTAATAGTCATCAATTGAGTTGTATTTGGCTATGTTTTAGTATCCCTGGCTCATTTATGTTTTGTGGATTTCAGTGTAGGGCCATGTCATACTTCATTTACTTAATAATTAGGAAAAAAAATTTCCATGAGTTTGATGGCAGTGAAATGGAAGATCAGTAAAGAAATTAGAAATGTGCACTAGCACCAAATTTTGCATTTAGATTTTGGAATTTTGAAAATTCAGCATTTCCACATACAGTATCTGGAACTCTTGTTACAGTCAGTAGGAATACTATGAATTCATTATTTTCCCCTTTAAAAAAACACAGGCAAAACATTTTAAAAGGATTTCCCTGTGTCCTCTTTACACCTTCCCAGTGATTGTGTCAAACAAAAAAGAGTGCACATCAACAACCAACAGTGACAAGGAAACAGGAAATTACTATAATGATGGCATACTGCATACTGATTTGAATCCTGAACAGTGGGAATGCCAATAGGAAATGGCAGTAGTATTTGTCACCCTGGGAAAGTAGACAGATAGCCTGGGCAGGGAGATTGTAGCCACAGGTAGCCTATGGTAGGTGGGCCTGTGCCAATACCAAGGGGCACAACACAGTTGAAGAACTGAGCACAATCTTCGAGCAACAGCTGGAAGAAGGAAAGAGACAGAGGCAGGAGGCAGCAGACTGAAGCATGGCATGACTAATGGTTGTTGTGGGTTTTTCGGGCTCTTTGGCCGTGTTCTGAAGGTTGTTCTTCCTAACGTTTTGGCAGTCTCTGTGGCTTGCATCTTTAGAGGTCAAGAGTAGCACTCTGTGCTCTGGTGCAGTTTGTTTGGGAGTTGAGTATTTATAGCTGTGGGATCAGCTTTTGTCCATTTCAGGAGATGGATTTTATGGTGATCAGTGTGTTTTTGTTGTGGGTGTATTCTTGTGATAAGGAGGAGAGATTATCTGTCACTGTGATTGATGGGTGTTGTTAGCTGGTCTTTTGTGTGTAGTGATCACTGGTCCTTGTGGCTGGGTAGAGTTCGTTGACCTTTTGCAGGCTGCATTTTTGAGAGCTGGGAGCCAAGCTTTGTTGAGTTTTAAACTTTCTTGTTTATAATTGAAGTTCTGCTCGTGTTTCTGGATTTCAGTGCCTTCTTTGTGTAATCTAATGTAATGATTGCTGGTTTTGTCCAGTATTTCAGTATGTTGAAATAGAATTTCATGTCCAGCTTGTTTTAGGACATGTTCAGCTATTGCTGATTTTTCTGGTTGTTTTTAGTCTGCAGTGTCTCTCATGTTCTTTGATTCTGGTGTGGGTACTTCGTTTTGTGGTTCCAATATACCTGGCCACAACTGCAAGGTATCGGTTTGAATACTGTTTGTAGGTTGTGTTTTTTCAAATGGTCCGTGACCCCTTTGATGTATGGCAGAAATATTATATTTTTGGGTGGCTGTTTTTCTTCTTCAGTTTGGTGTTGTTTTCTTGGTTTGATGGCTCTTGTGATTTCATTTTTGGAGTAGCTATTTGCCTTTAGGGCCCAATTCAGATGGTTGAGTTCGGTGCTGAGAAATTGAGCTTCACAGTTCCGATTTGCACAGTTTACCAGTATTTTGATTATGCCTCTTTTTTGCTGTGGGTGGTGGTTGGAGTTTTTGTGTAGGTACCGGTCTGTGTGTGGAGGGTTTTCTGTAGACCTTGTGTCCCAATAGGAGGTCAGTTTTGCATACGACCATGACATCTAACAGGACTTGGCCCTCTATTTTTTTCATGGTGAATTGCATATTTGGTTGGATGCTGTTGAGATGATTTAGAAATTCTGCCAATTTTTCTTCACCGTGGTTCCAAATTGCGAAGGTGTCATCCACATATTGGAACCAGACTGTGGGTGCGAAGGGTGTCAAAGCCAGGGCCAGTTTTTCAAAATGCTCCATGTAGAACTTTGCTGTAACCGGGCTGAGGCATGACTAGTTTAGTGAAGAGAGTGTGCCATGCTTTCTTGCTTACAGGGGATTTCAGGGAAGCCCAGCAATGTCAGATTGATCTTAAGGAAAATAGGTTTTCAGTGACGTTCCCAGCAACCACAATGTTGCTTTGCACAGGTGAAATTTGCTGGGACTGGAGATAAATCCTTCCTTGAATATAATGGAACTGCATGCTATGGATATGGCAAGCAACGTCTTGTGCTCTTTATAAATCTTTTTCCCCGACCACAAAGTAGCAGCCCTGCTGCTGCCCAAGCTGGCACTTATCATTCTGAGTGCTGATGATATCCTTGTCCTTCTCTGGCACATCAGCTCTTTAGGAGAAAAGTGCCCTTTTTTATCGTCTTTTTTGCCCCCTTGCCCTGGCTTGATTGCACAAAGATGTCCCTAGAACATGTCCTGAGTTTCACTCATATCTGTCCCATGTTGAACCAAAGGCTTCTGTGCCACCTCCTTGGCAGAGACACACATGCCCTGTACTGTTGCTTGTTGCTGTTTTATAATGTCTGTGTCAGTGATGAATAAAGCATATAGGTGAAAAATTTTGTTTGCGGGGCTCATGATGGCAATTGTAGGCTGTCTTTTTCCTCTTCCTCTCCTGTTCCTCTCAATAGAAGCTGCTGCAGTGGGTGCAGGCAGCATGTCTGCAGCTTCCTCCAAGTGCTTACTACTTCTACTACACCTGTGTTTCATACTGCCTGCAGATTCTACCCGGAGAAAAACAATATCTGATTCTGCTGCAACAAAATGCATTCCCTTCCAATGAAAACCACATACACACAAGAGCTGTTAACCTAATATCTCTACCTCTAACAAAATGTAATAGCCCTGTCTGATATACCTCAAGGGAGTCTGAAGTGAATACTGTATAATATTTCCCTGCTGTTTTATAATGTATTAATTTATGAACCTACTAATCCTAAATTTTATTCCTATTAAGTAAACAATATGCTATGAGATGTAGAGAAGGTAAATACTGTGTAAGTTGAGGGTTCAGAAAAGGATACAGAGAAAACTGCTGCAGTACGGACTTGCACCAGAGCATATCCTGACAGCGTAAGAATGTTTAGGGAATTTATATGCCGCTAAGACCACCTTTCTGCTGCAGTGAACAAATGAGCAGCCTTTTTCTTCAGTTTCATTATTGTTAAAAAATGGTTAGGCTATCCATTGAGACTCAAACAACTTGAAATCTCAGTTTTATTCTGGTTAGTTTTTATCAGTTTTTAATGTAGTTTTCCAGAAACCGTGTTATGGTAATGATGTTTCAGCTACTTAATTATTTGTGACTCTAGCAATAACTTATTAATGTAAGCATCATTTATTCATTTGTTTGTTTTAGAAATTTGTGCGTGTTAGAAAGGAGTGATAACTTTGTGTTTGCACTGGAAAGTTGAAGTTAAATCAGGACTGTAAGTATGGCTATATCTTCTTCTCTTTCCTGTGTGTGAGTCCTTATTTTTTACTCTCTGTTTACAGGAAGGAGAAGACAAAGAGTACATCGTCCACGTTCTCCAATATTGGAAGAAAAAGACATCCCTCCTCTTGACTTGCCTAAATCCTCAGAGGACTTAATGGTGCCTAATGAGCATATAATGAATGTTATTGCCATCTATGAGGTACTGCGGAACTTTGGCACAGTCTTGCGCTTGTCCCCTTTTCGTTTTGAGGACTTCTGTGCTGCTCTTGTTAGTCAAGAACAGTGTACACTTATGGCAGAAATGCATATAGTGCTTTTAAAAGCTGTTTTACGTGAAGAAGACACTTCAAATACAACCTTTGGTCCTGCGGACCTCAAAGACAGTGTTAATTCCACGTTGTATTTCATAGACGGGATGACGTGGCCAGAGGTTCTGCGGGTATATTGTGAGAGTGACAAGGAGTATCATCATGTTCTTCCTTTCCAAGAGTCAGAGGACTACCCTTATGGACCAGTTGAGAGTAAAATCAAGGTTCTACAGTTTTTAGTGGATCAGTTTCTTACAACAAACATTGCACGTGAGGAATTACTGTCAGAAGGTGTGATACAATATGATGACCATTGTAGAGTTTGTCACAAACTGGGAGACTTGCTTTGCTGTGAAACATGCTCAGCAGTGTACCACTTGGAGTGTGTAAAACCACCTCTTGAAGAAGTACCAGAGGATGAATGGCAGTGTGAAGTTTGTGTAGCACATAAGGTGCCTGGAGTAACGGACTGTATTGCTGAAATCCAAAAAAATAAACCATATATTAGACACGAACCTATTGGATATGACAGAAACCGACGGAAGTACTGGTTCCTGAATAGGAGGATTATTATGTAAGTAATTTTCTAAGCATATCAACATATTATTACATATCTTTTATGCTTACCTATCATCAAAGCATCCTTGTTTGATTTAGTGGCCAAATGTAGTTGATTGCTTTTCTGTGTAAGATTCATTGGATTCACTCCTGTGTTTTGGAGTGGCAATGGAGGGGGGATCCTGTATTCATAGGGTAGTGGCATAGTCATTCAGAGTAATAGCTTAGCCACCCAGAATAGTGGCTCTACTAGTTGGGTATGATAGAAATGTAAATAAATAAATAAATAAACAGAGAAGTTTTGTTTAGAATTTAGAATACCAGGCACGTGAGTATAGTGACTGCTCAGTTTCTGCTAAAAACATATGATCCATCTTTTTCTCTGGCAGAGATAGCTTTGTGGTGGTGTATTTGTTTAGATAAAATGTATTTTAGATGGTTTTATTTGAGAAATTAAGGTAACCGTGACATTACCATCATTTTCCCAGAATAGCAATTGATTGGTTCCTGGTGATACTCTTGATTTCTTGGTATTTTGAGGGCTTTGATGTAACTTCAAGCAGAGCAAGGCTGCTGTGATGTGGTCCCCTCTTCCAGTGACCTGTCTACAAAAGCTGATATTTGAAGTGACATCCATAAATGGCCATAGAGTGCTTTTGTTTTAATAAAATGACATTCAGCAGATGTTCATAGGAGTAGCTACTGATTTTTCTAACAAACACTCAAAAGCCATGCTGTTGAAGAGTCCTTTTAAAAAACCCATTTACAGTGAAGTAGCTAATGCAAAGTAAATAAATGACTTGTGAAGCAAAACAGTTTTCAGAACTTTTCTATAGTGCATGATGAAACAAAATTTTGAACTACGTACGGTGTTTTTGCAAAAGCTGCCAGGACATCTTGGGCAATGACTTTGTAAAAATGTCTTAGTTATAGGGTTTTTAGTATAGTTTTCTGAAGTTGTAGTGGGATCTCTTTTGAAATGCTTTCCCAAGGATGACTTTTTCAGTATCCCAGTTGCTGGTTTCAAAGATCCTTTATTGTAAAATTATAATAATGTTCCTTGTTGGCCTGTCTTGTCAAGGTTAGCTTAGAACACAAGGTGGAGGTTTCCGTTCCACTAATCTTAGTCATGATTGGCAAAGTTGATTGGTTGCAGCGTTTGTTAGAAATGAGAGTCACTGTGAAATTTGAAACAGCATGGAGACAGTCAGTCTAGATCAGTGAATGAAGTTTAGAGAGCAACAACTTCTGTAAATGGAGGAATTATTTAGATCTTGCCCGGTGTCTGGAGCTGTTGTGGATGTCTTGAAATCTGGGTCTTCAGCAAGGGTGAGCAATCTCAGGAGGGCAGAGGGCAGAGTGGATAAACCAATCTCAGATTAAAATTAAATTGATTTAAATCACCATTTAAATTTATAAATTGATTTTAAATTGCAGTTATTAACAAATCTTATTTTTAAAATTTAAATCAAGATTTAGATCGAATCCACCTTGCCATTTATCTTATTTGCCTGCAGGCCATAGTCCTTGCAGACAAGGAGTGTGGCCTGGTAATTTGAACCATTGGCGGTCGTGTTTCAGTAAAAGTTACTACAGTACAGTACTACTTCTGAGGGAGCTACATATTGCCTGTGATGCCCTTTTTGGCAACCTCCTGTCTACTGTAGGGTCTAGATCTGAAGGCACTAACATTTAATTATATGTCTGTACACTGTTTCCAAACTGTGTATTGCTCCCTTTCTAAAGCTTACAAGTATATGATGCTGCCATGTGGCAGTATTACTTATTGTTATTAAATTACAATTTCTAAGAAATGGTTTGAGGAGATCAGTACCATCAAAATCAATTTCAGGTGTTGGCATGTGAGTATGACATTACAGTTTGTGCCACATTGGCAGGGCTCAACATAGGCAATTTAAGCCGACAGAGTAGGCAGTCCAACATCGCTGTGATATTTTGAGCAGCAGTTCTCATCTAGCTGACTTGGTCAGTGTACCGAAATGTAGAGTTATTCCCTCTTTTTAGGCAAGAGAAAGTATCAGGTATGTTTTTCTCCAAGAAAGAGGTGAGGATGAGAGTGCAGAGCCATACAAGTTGGCATACAGAGTTTTTGTTGTCAGTGTCATCCTTTTAGGTGTAGATAGGTAAATAATAGTAGGGATGTGGTGGCGTTGCAGGTTAAACCTCAGAAGCCTCTGTGCTGTAAGGTCTGTAGATCTTCAGCTGCAAGATTGAATCCACGTGCCGGAGTGAGCGCCTGTCGCTTGTCCCAGCTCCCGCCAACCTAGCGGGTCGAAAGCATGCAAATACGAGTAGATAAATAGGGACCACCTCGGTGGGAAGGTAACAGCGTTCCGTGTCTAAGTCGTACTGGCCATGTGACCATGGAAGATTGTCTTCGGACAAAACGCTGGCTCTATGGCTTGGAAACAGGGATGAGCACCACCCCCTACAGTCGAACATGACTGGACAAAAATTGTCAAGGGGAACCTTTACCTTTACCTTTAGGTAAATAATAAGATTGGAATTAATTTGCATGGCTAATTGAGTATAATTCTGAATTACCATGTGGCCAAATGAATCAGTCTTTTTGTATAATTCCTCAGTGGTTGGTTGGTAGTGTGTTGCACTGTGCTGTTGAAAGTAGGGAATACAGTTTTAGAGGACTGCATGTGGCTTCATGATTCTAGCCGTCTAGAGTGGTCGAAATGACTAGATAGGCGGGGTATAAATACAATAAATAAAATAATAATAAATAAATGCCACAGTGGGAATTCTTAAGGGTTTTAGAAGAGTCATAAAAGAAAGCAAAGATTGCTGTAGAAGAGTTAACATGATGGGTGCAGAGAAGCAGAGAATTCTGTGAGATACCTTTGGATATGATTCAGCATTAATCTGTGCCAGCAGCCCTAAAAATTTGGGCCCAATGGGAATTGTGAGGAAGTGCTGTGGGTCCCAGTAAAGGGTTGTTGTAATGGATGTAGACCACCATAAAATATCAAGGAGAATAAGGTAGATCTGAGAGAGATTCTAAAAGTTAACATGAATTTATATAATTTTTGTATATGTATGCATCAGCCACCACTGTCATATTAAAAGTTGCTTTGGCATTTGTAGTCTGGCCATTAGAATTTCAGATCTGTTACTTTAATGTTTACAAAGGATGTTAACAAAGCAGCTATCAGTGTAGATCTGTGGTTTACCAGTGTTTTAACAGTAGTCCACATGAAAAATTGGCTGTAGACTGTGTCACAGGTTGGACTCGTGCCCCCAAATGGCTGGAAATGATCACATTTGGGGAAGGAGAATAAAGGTACTAGACAGGCTCTTTGGGGTTCATTGTTTGGGGATCTTGCAGTGGGGACCGGGAAGGGGACCATAAAAATGATGATGGGGACTGCCTATGGCCCTGAGGTAGTCCAGCATAGTTTATTTTAACTGGCAGTAGTTCTTCTCTGTCTTAGACAGTGTTCCTAGCTGCACCTGCTGGTTGGTATTTTGAGTTGGAAATGGAGGGGATTGAACCTGGGATCTTCTGTATGCCAAGCATGTTCTGTGCCACTGATTTATCATTCAAGCCCTAGACTCCATCCCTGAGAACTGCATCAGAAGAACCTTCACTCACCAGGAGAAAGGTGGCACAGAAGTTAAACAAACAAAAAACAAAACAAATAAACACATGTTGGGGAATATGGTAAAAGGTTTGGTATTTATGTAGCTTTGTTTTTTGCAGTAATGCTAGCTATATAGGCTGAGATGTGCAATTCCAAAAGAAGAGCCTCGTGGCGCAGTGGTTAAACCGCTGTACTGCAGCCAAAACTGTGCTCAGGACCTGGGGTTCAATCCCAAGTAGCCGGCTCAAGGTTGACTCAGCCTTCTATCCTTCTGAGGCCGATAAAATGAGTACCCAGCTCACTGGGGGGGGGCAATGTGTAGCCTGCATAATTAACTTATAAACCCCCAGAGAGTGCTTGAAGCGCTATGGGGCGATATATAAGCAGCACGCTTTAAAAATAGGATTTTTAAATACTTTATTCATTGTGAAGCCTTTCCATATTGAACTGACCTGTATTCAAAATGATAGCAGCTGAACACATGCAGTGGTCCTATAAGAAGTTCCTGGTTGTTCATTCTCCCTATAGATGTGAAAGAACAACATTTGCTGCCACTTGCAGTAGCTGGATAAATGAAATGCCCGATTTTGCTTTCAGAAAATGACCTTCTGCTTTACAAAGTCTAAATAGTGATTCTTAATCCTTTCTCTGCTTTACCCACTTGAATGGGCATATTCCTCTGCCTTTACTTTTATCCCTTTGTATACCTATTCTTTGTTTCAGTTATATATTTGCAAATAGAAGCATCTCCTGGACTACTGATTTTGATTGTAAAAGTGAATTGTTTCTTCGTAATTGATGGAGATCGTGTAAAACTCCAAAGCAGTATTTTTGGACTGTATCATTTTCCCCACAAGTATCTTCAGAGTGCTTTCTCCAGTCCAAAGGAAAAGAATATTTATATTTGGTTTGGTCCACTTGCAGAGAGATGGAAGCCTGACAAGATAGTCCTCACTCATCCTGTTAGCAAAGAGGCAGGCAAAGCTATTGCCTAGCTACTATGATTGCTCTAAAATGTGTGCTTCTTTCTTAATGATTGTACCATTATATGTGGTTTCCTAAACGTAGATAATCTGTGGAAAATTGACAATTCTCTCTTTGAATCTTTGTTTATCTCTGACTAAGCTCTTTGCTTCTAAGAATGGTTTTGTACCTCAGTAACTGGACCACATTTGTTTGGTATAGAGGACTTCATGATGAGGAAAACCTTAATTGGTTGTTCTATGTTTTTCGGGCTATTTAGCCGTGTTCTGAAGGTTTATCTTCCTAACGTTTTGCCAGTCTCTGTGGCTGGCATCTTCAGAGGACTGGAGGAGGAAATCTGTGCTCTGTTGCAGTTTGTTGCATTTCTGACTCCTGCCCTCTGAAGATACCAGCCACAGAGACTGGCGAAAGGAAGAAAAACCTCCAGAACACGGCCAAACAGCCCAAAAAACCTGCAACCGTAGGATCCCAGACATGAAAGCCTTCGAGAATATATAAAACATCAATTATTTGCTACATTTTTTTTGACATGGTTAGTTAGAAGTATGTGAAAAACAACAGAATGCCACTTCCTGATGGAGATGATACGGACCAAAATCCTGTTGGTAGTCCCAAATGGTTAGACCCATTGAATAATATACATTTGTGTTAGTATAGATGTTCCATCAATATATCTTCTTTAGCTAGGACTGCCAGTAAGACTGTGCTGGTATTGGAACTGCCTGTATTATCCAGTGTGTTGTGATTTTTAAAATGTCTTTACTAAAATTCCTTTTGTTATAGGAATGTAGTTGTACTGGGGGGAGTATTATAATACAGCACGACATAGTTTGAATATACTTGTGTATTGAGAATACCATTCTTAGGTAATGTGCTGAGCCTTATTGTTATACAGATTAAACTTAGAAGCAATTTTAAAATTCATTTTGGCAACTGATTGTTATAATGATATATTTTAAAACTTAGTAATAGTTAGCATCAAGTGCATTGGAAGAAAAAGGAAAAGTGAGTCTTGGGTGTTTTTTGTTGTTATTCCTTTTTTCCCTCCCATAGTATAGAGATGTAACTTTTATCCTTATGTTGTCTCATACACAATTATTTTAATATTGTCACAGAGAAGAAGATTCAGAATGTGAGAAAGATAAGAAAATCTGGTACTATAGCACAAAAGTCCAGCTGGCAGAATTAATTGAATGCCTTGACAAAGATTACTGGGAAGCTGATCTCTGCAAAACTGTGGAAGAAATGCGTGAAGAAATCCATCGGCATATGGATATAACAGAAGACCTTACTAATAAAGCACGGGGTAACAATAAATCGTTCCTTGCTGCAGCAAATGGTGAGCCTCTACTCCACTAGTTCTGAATTGATAATGGTATACAACACATTGCCAAACCTATTGTGATTACCTATCTTATGATCTTGTATTCCTCTGAAGAAAGATTTATGGGGGGAGAGGGAAAGACATGAAATTATTAAAGCCAAATTCTATTAGGTTTATGCTGTGAAATCACAGTTCTCTGACAACAACATCTAGTGACCCTAGAATGCATGAATATGTTTGAAAAGGTTCAGTTAAAGCTGTTCGTCCTCATATATTGTCTGAGTAATGACAAGTACCAGTTCAGGGGTCATTCCTGCTGTTTCAGGAAAAGTGCTGACGTGCATGCTTTAAACTCTGTGTTTTAATAGGGTAAAAGAGTACTAAAAACTCTACATTGTCAACTTGCAGAATTTCCTAATGACTCATCATTAGATTGTAATGCCAAATTCAGATGCTCCGTAATCAGTCTGTCGGGTAGTTCCACTTAATTTTTTCTTGCTTAAACATATAGATGTCCTTGAATAAAGTAATATAAAGTATATATAGTATATTTGCTTTTTGTTGTTGTTTAGTCGTTAAGTAGTATCCGACTCTTCATGACCTTATGGACCAGAGCACGCCAGGCCCTCCTGTCTTCCACTGTCTCCAAGAGTTGGGTCAGATTCATGTTGGTCGCTTCGGTGACCAACATGAATTTGCTTACGTACCTGAAATAATTGTAGTAACTCTTATAATGAGTTAACAGCAATGTACTCTCTAATTTTTAGCCCCTCTGGGCAGGGCTCCACTTCTCATGCACACAGCTTCACCCCTGCATGTGCACCTGACTCCGCCCATCTGTGTGCTGGGTTCATTCACAACCAGAACCTCACTCAATTGCTGCTCCGAGAAGGAAGAGAGCTGCGTGGAGGGAAGTGGAGTTGTGTGCGCGTGCATGCACCCAGCTTACCAGGAACCTTAGTTAACAGTTATGTGTCCTGATGAAGGATTAAGTTTTAATGGCAAACATGTCTTTAAGAAAGGCTTAAATACTAAATGTCACACAAATTGGCTTCTGCTCAAGCAATGGGATTACCCCCTTCTGCTGAACACCCCTAGTCTTTTCTAGTCCTCTCCCCAACTTTTGAGTAGATTTCCATAGCCACATTCAGGCATTAACTTGGCTTTCTCCAGTAAGTGAGCAGGGAGAGCCTAGCATCTCTGTTGTGATCTGTCTTTCTATTCTCTATACAGGGAGTGGTGTGTCTGTAGAAGAGAGTTTGAACTTGCATGGAAACTCTCCAGATGAAGGACATTCCTAATTTTCAAGGTTTCTTGCATGTATGGAGAACCTTCATGCAAGTAAGAACCTCTCCTCTACAGGTATCTCACTGTACTGTTAGAGAAGGTAATAGAGAAAGGAGAAGGTTAAGCACTACCCTGGTCACATATTGCAAATAAATGAGTAAGTAATGCCTGAACATGACCTCTGAGAAAGCACAGTGATTGTCTGAAAAGTGGGAGGAGTTGCCTTCTCCTCATTCTATGAAAGAAGGTATTCTATTGATAGGAAGCTACAATCCATAGACAGAATTCTTGTCAGCATAGGTACGCCTGTGGAAGGGTGATGATGTCATCAACAGGTGGAGATTTTTGGTAGTGAAAGACTTCTCCCTTCCCTCTGCAGCTTTTCTCACTTCCAAACAATACCTTTCATTGCATGGGAGCTCTGGGAGAAAAGGATGAAGTCTTCCATGATGGAAAATCTCCACCTACTAGGGCGTCATCACCCTTTCCACATGTATAGCTATGGAACAGGATTTCAAATGTAGTACAGTGGTGCCTCGCTTAGCGATGTTAATTGGTGCAGCAAAAATCGCTGCTAAGCGATTTCATCGCTAAGCGATTTCATCAAGCCCATAGAAACACATTAAAACATGTTTAATACGTTCCTATGAGTTTAAAAACTAACCTTATGCGAAAATCCTCCATTGCAGCGGCCATTTTCGGTGCCTCTAAAGTGAGGCAAAACAGCAGGTGGCCATTTTGTTTACCCGGCGGTCATTTTGGAACTGCCGATCAGCTGGCCGAAAATGGGGGCTTTGCGATGATCGCTTCCCTGCGATATCGCAAAGCGAATTTTCCCTATAGGGGCCATCACAAAGTGATTGCTTTTGCGATTGCAAAAACAGCGTCACAAAGCAATTTCGCCGTAAAACGGAGCGATCGCTATGCACCACTGTATCTTTAGCACTTGTCTTAAGTGCTATATTCATCTATTGAATGGCCAGTTTGCCTTATCTCAATTCTGAAATGAAATTCCATAATTAACAAACAATACTAAAATATTAACAGAGAAGCAGAATGACATTGTTGACATTCTAGAACTCCTTGCTAAAACTATATGACTCAGAACAGCATGTACAGTGGGGTCTTGACTTAAGAACGGCTCGAGTTAAGAACATTTTGACTTAAGAACCGCTCTCATAGGAAAATATTGACTTGACTTACATACTTAGATTTGAGTTAAGAACTGAAAAAAAACCACGTGGGAGGCAGGGAAAGTGCAAAATTGGAACTTTCAGTTAACTGTTGGCTGGTGAAAAGGGTGCCTGTCTGCTTCCTCACTCCTCCCAGCGTTTAGAGAGTGGATTGGGAGACAGTCTTCGGACTGCCTGGGACTGTACTGCCTGGACTGTATTTTCCCTGCCTTCCCTGAACCTTTCTTGACCTAAGAAAAAAAGAAACAAAATATCCCCCTCTAGTGGTCGAAGGCGGAATAGCAGCTTCCCATTAGTTTCTATGGATGGAAAAGAGCAGATACGGATCAAATGGTTTTCAATGTATTCCTATGGGAAATGCAGATTTGACCTGAGAACTTTTTGACTTGAGAACCGCCTTCCAATACGGATTAAGTTCTCAAGTCAAGACCCCACTGTAAATGTGTGTATGTAAGCACAAACAAGTCTCTTTAATGCAGCCCTTTCCTTCTTTATGGTTAGCTATTTTATTTATTTTAAGTATTGAGACATTTTCAGTCTCAGAGTTGTTTGAGAAGTACTTTGTGATAAGTACTGCTATCTCTTGCTACTGATGATGATGGCTTGCTATTTCCCTCAAAGCTATATTGGAATTATATTTTCAGCTCCAACTTCTATTTCAGGAGTGATTTAAAGCTAGTCTGAAATAAAAATCTCCTTCACTTTCCAAATGGATAATTTGTTTTAGTATTCTTCTTGTGGAACAGACATGTTTGTGTCATTTCTATCCTGATTAGCAGCCAATATATTTAGCCTTATTATGTCTCTGATGCTATATTGAAAAAATGCAGTTAGTAAGAATAATCGTCCTCCAGATTGCAAACCACATTTTATTGCAGCCACACCCAGCACCATAGACTCAATATCAGTTTCTTGCTTGTTAGCAGTTGTGTATGTAACATGTTCTGTTTTACACATCTCTCAGACTACTCAATGTGGATTGCTTTTGCTTTCACTCTTCATCAAGAGTGTCTGAACTGCAAGGTAATTTTGTTGTCTTTCCAAATATAGCCTCATATAGGCACTGTTTGCTTCCTTAGTGATAAGCACAGCATTTCATGAGCCACACAAATTCAAGTTTAATGACCATCCATATTCATTTTTCAGTCTCTTTATTAAGATACAAACAAAAAATACAGGAAATGTTTACAGAAAATAAAAAAAAAACAGCATTCAGCATTCATGAATCCATCAATATTGACAGTATCACTAACCCCACTGGCAGAAACGCAGCCCCAAGCCACGACTGACCCTCCACCATGTTTCACTGAAGGCCTCAATCACTCAGTCTTCCATTTCTCACCAACTCTTCTTCTCACATATCATTGATGATTGGACCCAAAAATTTCAAACTTGGATTCATCACGCTGTAATACTCTTTTCCACTGATCTTTATTCCATTCGTTGTGAGCTTAGCATATCATAGCTTTTGCAGCCTGTTCCCCTTCCAAAAAAGTGTTTCTTGGCTGCTGCCCTTCCACAAAGACCATTCCTGATTAAGCTGCTTCGGACTGTAGAAGGGTCAACTTGGGATCCCAGTGAAGCTGCCAGATGCTGAGCCAAGTCCTTGCTGGACTTCCTCTGGTCTCTCAAAGAAGATAATCTGAAAAACCTCATCTGATTTTGAAAGTTTTCTTGGCCTTCCAATTTGTTTTGCTTTTTTGTCTTTGACCTCTTCTGATTCTTCAGATTTCTTTATAACAGCTTGAAAACCACATCTTGAGTATTGAGTTTGTTTCTTGCTTTCCTTTAAGAGTGGCCTTGCTGATGCAAAAATATGATTTTATGTCTGTTGTATTCTGTGATCTTTGGCATTTTGAATGGACTTGTGTGATTGAAAGTTGGTCTTATTAGCGAGCTTCTAATGACAGTAATTAAGGTTCCATTCCATTTAGGTTTATGAGGATGAAGTACTTGCTATTGCTCAAGCGTAAGGGAATGTCACATTAAATATTTGCCACTTTAGCCTATAGAAGTTGTTTTTTTCTGATTTTTCCCCTGCTTTTAAGTATTGCATACAAATTTCCTATATTTTCTGGTTGTACTCTAATAAAGAGACAGAGAAATAATTATATATGGTCATTATACCATTGTTAAAACAACAAATCTAATGGTGATCTAAGACTTTTGCACAATACTGTATATATTTAAACCATTCTATACCAACACTATTTCTTTTAGTAGTGGTAATATAGAGGAACTCTGGGAGAGCCAACAGTATGATGTGGCAAAAAAGAGCAAATTCTGTTTCAGGAAGCATTAGCATATGTATAGTCTCAAAATCCCATGAGGCACTAGTTACCCTCTGTTCACACTGGTTAGGCCTCATCTAGACTACTGTGTCCAGTTCTGGACACTACACTTTAAGAAGGATGCAGACAAACTGGAGAAAGTTCAGATGAGGGCAACAAGGTGATCAGGGGACTTGGAGCTAAGCCCTATGAGGAAAGACTGGAAGAACTGGGAATTTTGTAGCCTTGAGAAAAGAAGACTAAAGAGTGATATGATAACACTCTTCAGATACTTGAAAGGTAGTTCTACAGAAGAGGAGCAGGATCTGTTTTTTATTATCCCAGATTGCAAGAAACATAATAATGGCTTTTAAGCTACAGGAAGCTAGATTTAGACTGAATATCAGGAAAAACGTCTTAGCTGTTAGACTAGTATGACAATGGAACCAGTTACATCAGGAGGTGGCATACAAGAGAAAATTGGACAACCGTCTGTCAGAAATGCTTTGATTTGGATTCCTGCATAGAGCAGGGGGTTAGACTTGATTACCTTATAGGCCCCTTCCAACTCAATTATTCTATTATTCTAGTTTTATATCAGAAAATGTGCTCTGTGTCAGATTGCCAGATACTGCAGACCTTTTAAGGAACTGTGGTGAGGTATCAGAGAATATATGTTCTTGCTTTTTTATTACAGGTTTGATAGTAATTTCAGATATTCTGTCATTCAGACACACTTTGAAAAAGTTTAATATTCTTAGAAGCTTCTTGTAGGCCACAGGGTTCTTCCTGACCTCTGTTGGCTCAGCTTCTTTTATTTCTAGATAACTTGCTGTAATGTGCCTTTAAAAGGAGGTGACTGGTGTGATGCTGACTATTGTCACTGATTTCCTTAAAACAATTCCGTGGCTTCAAGTTGATTGTGACTTAAAGGCAACCCTTTCGAGGATTTTCTCGGTATAGAGTACTCAGAAATGGTCTACTGTTCCTTTCTTTTGGGGTCACTTTGGGGCTGTGCCACTTGCCCCAGGCTACACAGGCTGTTTCTTCTACTAGGAGGCACAGTGGCAGATTAAACTCTCAACCTCTGGCTCTGCAGCCAGATACCTAACTCACTGACCTCTCTGACCAGCTTGGATTTACTTGGTTTGTCATAATACCTTGTAACGATTACAGCTTTCATCACGGATGAAATAAAGAAGGATTCATTGTAAGTGGGTCAGAGTGCATAAGACCAGCTGCCCCATGTTTCTAATGATCAGCCCTTTTGGTTCTGCTGTGTTCTGCAAGATCCCACAGCCCAGTTGTTAGTTAATGTGTGTTTCTTTGGGAAGAGCCAGATGTGGCTGTATCTAGTCCTGAAACCTCAGAAAGTGCAAAGGCTAAAGATGCAAGCTGCGGGAAGGAGAGGGGAAGAATCTCTTGCTATGACCACGCCTCCCCTTGGGAGAGAGGCATACTTGGTGTGTTTTGCAAGGACATAGATACAGTATCTTCTCCAGTCTGTGTTTGTTTCCAGCCAGACTGTTTATTTGGTGGCACTAGGACCTACATCTAGACCTGGAACCTTACGTATATTGCAATGGATAAACAAATTGATACTAAGACTAGGTGAAATTGCTTGTCACCCCAATCTTAGGTGAAATCTTAGTTGAATTTTTAATCATCTCACAGCTCAGCCTTATTTCCAGACTGAGCCTGGTGGGAGATAGACTGATATTGAGGAAACATCAGCTTGTAGAATTTTGTTATCTTAATCACTACTTGCCACGAGCATTTGAAGATATGCTTTTTCTCATTTTTGGGGGGTCTCTTGCATCACTGAGGTCTTTTGAGAATGTACTCCTTGATAAGTCCACCAGGAACTGGGCATTCCGTATGCTGTTGTTGTTTAGTTGTTTTGTCGTGTCAGACTCTTCGTGACCCCATGGACCAGAGCATGTCAGGCCCTCCTGTCTTCCACTTCCTCCCGGAGATGGGTCAAATTCATGTTGGTCACTTCAATGACCCTGACATCTCATCCTCTGTCGTCCCCTCCTCCTCTTGCCTTCACACTTTCCCAACATCAGGGTCTTTTCCAGCGAGTCTTCTCTTCTCATGAGATGGCCAAAGTACTGGAGCCTCAACTTCAGGATCTGTCTTTCCAGTGAGCACTCAGGGTTGATTTCCTGCAAAATGATAGATTTGTTCTCTTTGCAGAGCCTCCTCCAGCACCACAATTCAAAAGCATCAATTCTTCGCCGGTCAGCCTTCTTTATGGTCCAGCTCTCACTTCAGTACATCACTACTGGAAAAACCATAGCTTTGACTATGT